AACTGCCCGCTAACCCTGGTCATGATGTCTGGAAGGAGAGTTTATCAAATGTATATTTATTTTAGGGGGGGGGGGGCTTTGAGCACCACAAGCATAGCCCTAAAAAGGTTAATATAACAATATCTGAGACACATTTTCTGCAGAACAAGTACTCTTACGCTTACAAATGCATTAAGCTATTAATACTTCTGTACATGAGCAGGACTGTAAACATAGTACTTCCACACTGTGGTTTGTGTACTTCTACTTTGATAAAGGACCCGAGCACTTCTTCCACCACTGAATGCTGTTAACAATCATGCTTCCATTTCCAAAGGTCTGGGGAGCAATAAACAACGGCAACATGAAGTCGGCGAGCCGTTCACACTGTAAATGTGGTGAGACAATCTCTGGCAACCAAGGTTTGGTATCCTCTAATGTTGTGTTGCAGAATCAATAAGCAATCAGCAATGTTTAATAACGGCAAACTGACACTGATGGATGGACAGGAGGAGTCAAACATTACTTAAGACCACAGACTTTACTGGCTTTCTCTCTCTTATTAGGCTACTTCTCTCTGCTAACCACAGAAATATGGAGTTTGTTTGTCTGTCAGTGTGTGTCAGTGTGTGGAGTGTGTGTGTGTGTGTGGGGAGGCAAAAGAAGAGTCAGAGTGTGTGTACAGTACGTATCTGTGTGAGAGAGACGGAGCTGTTCGAAGAGAATCAAAATAGAAGAATGTGTTTATAGCGAACAATAACGAATGCAACACCATGCATTAATATTGTTAGAATTATTATGTTGTGTGGCTGTCGTATAGTTACCGTCACTTGTCCCTCGCCTGGTGTCCGTCCTGTCCCACAGGTCAGATAAAACATTTCACCATGAATACCATTCAGTGACACTAATTTGATTTCACTCGTCGTTATCTCCTACAGTGAACCGGTATATATGTATATACATGTATATGTGAATTCAGGCCTCACACACCAACCACACTAGTCAACAGGCGGCTTATTCAAAAGAACTGCCAGCGTTGTTTTTAATGTCGGAGCCACCGTGTGATGAGGCAGCAAACTGCTCGAGAAGATGAGGAAACATGCCTGTTACACATGCTGCTTTTCCTTTGCTCTGCACCGCCGCCTGGTCGTTCCGGGCTCTGGTGGTTATATTCTGTCACATTAACGTTGGGATAGAGGATATGTTGACAGAGAGAGGACATTGCACATTGAGACTGGAGGGCTTTTCTAAGGCTGGTGGCAGTGGGACATGAAGACAAGCGTGTATATGTGTGTGTGTGTGTGTGTGTAGAAGGAAAAGGTTGCCTGTGGAGCAGAGCATGTGGATGCCCACCCACTCAGCAGCCTCGCGGCCCTCGTCATTTCGCATCAATCCACAGCCCCTCAATATAAATAGGACAGGCGTCCTAAAGCTATGCAGCGCTAAGAGAGGCAACGGCATTATGCATGGACCCTGGGCCCCTCAGCTTGAAGTATGACAGTACGCCAGCCTGTTGTAGCAGCAGTTTCCCTAAAACTTGCACAGCACTCTGTTAGTAGGGGGAACTATGTTGGCAGTTAATATACGTGATGTTAATGTACTTGTCTTGTACTGCCTATAATAATAACGAGGCTAGCGAGTGCCTACGGACATCAGTGAAACTGCACTTTTGGAAACATACTTTGAACTGTTTTTAGGTTTCTTTTTTTTTTTTTTAAGTTTCGCACACTGTGTGCAACTAACTTCTTCACGGCACTGTGTTGCACTTTCAATGTCATTCATGTCAATCAGCACCTCAAACGTCACGCAAAGCATGCTGGGGGAAATACATTTCCAGCACTACTTTTTTTTTTTCCTATGCGGTATTCAATTCATGGAGAGAATTGATACATAACACGCAGCTGGTTTACAAAGTCTGTCCGTCTAATTTGAAACATCTGCAAAACACCTTTAGCGCCAAAGTAAAAGCACCGAGCACGGCGCACCAAACTTAACAGTCAGATTTCACAATTGGTTTAAGGGTGTTCGACCAAAGTTAGGTTGAATTTTGCCTGTAGAAAGTACAAAGTGGGCTAAATGTGTGTGTGTGTGTGTGTGTGTGTGTGTGTGTGTGTGTGTGTGTATCACGGCTGTAAGGAATTGAAGGTGGTGCTTGAAAATAGAGAGTACAGTTCACGTGGTAGCTTCCCCGTGGCGTCACAGAAACTTCACACTTCATTACTGCAAGGCCAGCGACGTGTGAAGCCATTATGTAGGAGCAGTGGGCAGGGGAGCGAGTGCGTGGGCATGTGTGTGTTCGGGGGTATAACTAAGGGTTGCGGGGGGTGTGTGTGTGTGGCGGGGGTAGAACCCCCCCCCCCCCCCCCCCCCCCCCCCATTTGCTTAAAGTGCTTTCTGGAAGCAGGATCAAGCCATTCACATGGAAACATTGTTTATTGCATTCAAACAGCTGGGAGGTGTTGTCCCAGTGTCAAATGAAAGAGGCCGAACAAACAGCTGGCAGGGCATTTTTTTTCTTGCTCAAAACTACGCTTTAATAAACGGCGTCTGATGCACATGCATGCATCAATTTGCAATGAATCACACACTAAATGAGCTCCAAAGTACTTTCATGCAATTGAATCCAAGAGTTGAGATCCTCCGTCTCTATGTTGAGAAACAAATCCGTGTCCTCTACTTCCACCAAGTGTCCAAAAGCAGAATGTCACACTTTGCTTTTTGCTATTTTTTTGATAGCAGCAAGTCTGTGTGTGTCATCTGTGCCTCCATTTAGCACAGGCAAGATGGAAAAGTTACGATGAATGGTAAAAAAATAAAAACGCACGTGTGTCTCAACTATCTCTTTCACTCAGTGAGACCCATGATGCATTGCAACGAGCCAACTATTTACAATCAAACCAATTCACCTTCAAAGACGTCGTCCTCTTACTGGAATGGTCGACGCAAATCTTTTCTCAGCATTTCGATAGGCTGTGTGACTGCCAGCTGAATTACAAAAAAAAAAGAATAGCTGATCATTTTGAAATCATGCCCGGTGCGCAAAGCCTACGAGCAAGTGCACAAGCACCTTCTGTTAACTGCGGGACAATCGGGAAAAAACATTTTCAATCAAGAACTTTTTTTGGGATTTGTGGCAGTATCCCAGGGCACTTTCTGTGACTGCCAACAATGAGCATTTAGCTCTGATTGAAATGTTGGCCGCTGATATTGATCTAGCAAGCCAGAATAGCAGCAGGACGACGTTATCGCAGTCATTCTCATTCAAATCGACAGCTGACAAGACCTGTGTTCATATGGTTCATAGACAATGTAGCGTATACGTTACACAGGGGGCAAAGCAGGTACCAAGGTGATGGGAGACAGGTAGAAATCACTGTGAGGCAACAGGAAGATGTGGGTATATGTGGTCATTTTGTAAAGAGACAGCTTGATACATTGGAATCAATACAGAGTGAAGAGACAGAATTTACAATCTACCTGTGAAGGCATCCCAGTGGAAACATTGGGAATGGACATAGTAAGGCCAATATATTTGTATTTCAAGATGTGCGGTAGCGTCAGATGAGATGTACTGGAGACAGAAGCAGTCAGATGACGGGCATTACAATAGTTCTTAATTAGCTCATCAATATGTTGTAGTTCATTTTGGACGCTATTTGAATGTGATAATAACCTACAAACTTTAAGACTGAAAGGGTATCCGTTAAATTAAAGAAATGTGACTCATACTGATTGAATTGACACAGAAATGCCATTTTTTAAACACGACCTAACTGTTTTTGAGTGAGTCATGACCTTTTAAAAGTAAAATAAAGTGTGTTGTATAAATATATCAACTGATGACAGTGGTGGGCCATCAGGGCCTGCAAGGCCTTCTCTGCTGGCCTAAACAGAATCACAAAGTTATAGCTATTTTATAATTTACTTAAATACACTACATGTATTATAATTTATAAAAATATTTTTCCCATTATCTTATTTTCTCAATGCACAGCTACTGTCTTCCTCAGTTGCTCTGCTTCCAGTGCAGCTTGTTTTAAGTAGAGCTTTTATACAATCAGATTTCACCTCTGTGTCTCTAGGTAAGAACAGAGGCCCGAGGCCTGCAGACTCTCAAGTGCATCCATGTGCAGTTTAAGTGAATGGGGACGATATTGTTGATTGTCATAGTGTTCAACCAATCAGATCTTTAGTTTGACATGTTGGGCGTATTCTTTGACATGTCAGAGCCTTCTAGCTGGCTTAGCCATACATGATTGATCAGTGGGCTAGCCTGACGTGTTGGGTGGTGACAATCCCAAAATCTGCTGCCTCTGTGGAGTGGACATTTTTAGCCCTCAAACGCATTAAAACCTATTCAAGAAATACAACTGGGGAGGCTTGACTGTCTTCACTGGCGTCCATGAATCGAGAAGGACTTCTTACTGGAACTAAAACGCACGGATGTACTGAAGAACAGTGAGATTAAACTCTTTATTAACAAAGAAAGGAGGATGCACTTTGTCTTTAAATAGTGAACAGTAGCTCTGGTAAGTTAAATGCATTTGTTTTTACATCTGCAGTAGCTTTAATATGCTTGTTTATATATTATTATTTGTACAACTTGTTTTTAATGAAGATTTTTGTTTGGTTTAATATGTGAGAGGAACCATTGTTACGTCCAATGTTGCTCTGGGGACATATTTAGCAGGTGCCAGTGCTGCCAACTTGGCGACTCTCTCGCTAAATCTGGCGACTTTCCAAACCCTCATGGCGACTTTTTTTTGTCAAAAGCTACTAGTGACAAATCTAGCGACTTGTTCTGGTGTTGTTGGAGAATTTTGTGGTGTTTTGACTCGTGAAAGCACGTACGCTCTGCACTGTCGTGAACGAGCAGCGGGAGCTGCCGTGAGCCCCTCCGCCGCCCCAAAGCACACAGGCGCAGCAGTCCCAGCTGCAGTCAGAGCAGACTATCTACAGGTGTTGGCTTCATTTTGACACGAAACTAATAATAACCGTAGCTGTGTTTCAGCTGCAGGACAGCAGTGAAGGCCCAGGTATAAAATGCACGGCCCGCCACTGACTGATGACATGCTTGTAGAAAGTAAAGTTTCAGAAATGCCCGCAATAGAAACAGTAACATGTTTCACTGGTTAGCTAATTAACTTAAATGCGTTACTTACAGAGCTTTTGGCACATGTTGGCACTTGACAACTACCAGTACTTTGTAAATATACTAAATACATAAACGGCTACATTTGTATTCCAGCGTATTACAAAATTACTGCCACCATCATTCGGTTACCTAGACGGTTGCCTTTCCGTTTGTACGAAAAACAGCTGAATTATCAAACGCCTGCAGTTTTCGACAGGCAATAGGAAAGGACAGCCCTGCACCGCCGAAAGACCCCAGAGGGCCAAGATGGCTGCGCCCGTGTCAAACACCGGGGAGTTTGAAAGCTGGCTAAATGATCGGCTAGACTCGCTAGAAGTGGACCGTGAGGTGTACGGGGTGTATATTTTAGGGGTCCTGCAAGAAGAGGAGAGTGACGAGGAGAAGGAAGACGCGCTTCAAGGAATCCTATCCGCATTTCTGGTGAGTATTCAAAGCGGCGTGTCCCGCTCGGCACAGCGAGGCTGCGCTCTCTCATTTGTTGCTGTCCGTCTCGCCTGCCCGGGCGGTGCCAAGACACAGCGCTGATGTCAGCGGCTGTTTATGGAACGAAATGTCGACGGTAGACGCGACAGTGTTTCTTTAGCTAAGGTCCAGACACCACAGGCGGTGGTGTGAACGCTTCTCTCCTGCCACGTAGAAGCCAATCAAACAACACGTGACACGGTTCCTTAAGATGTTTGTAGTAGTTATATTCTGTATACTATGCACTAGCCGTATACGTGTATGTGTGGCGAGCTTTGGCTTGCTGTCAGTCTACCAGAGTTCACATAATGTAAACTATCTATGTGTTATTTAAAGATCCTTATGCTGTGTTGGCAGCCATGCTAAATGCCGCCTCTGTCTCAACCTCTGCAAGATAACCCAGATATGGGATCCCAGCACCACTATATGAGTCATGTGCTGGCTGTGAATGGAGCCAATGGGTGCTGCTGTCACCTCACACTACCTCAATAACGGGCTGTGTTGAGTTTGACGCTTGGCCACGAGCAGCCTTGTTGGATGAGGCTACTGCTGAGTGTATGCAATGACCTGTTGGTACTAAAACTGTTCTTGGTCTTCTGTATGCAGGAGGAGGACAACGCGGAAGATGTCTGCAAACAGATCATCAAGCAGTGGACAGATTGGCGCAACAGATCAGCAGCCAAAAGTGACGAAGATGGTATGTATTGCGTCTTTGATTTATCCACATTCCCAATCTCATTGAAGCATAAGGTCTCACACAGTGCAGTTTATAATAATGCAACTGTAAATTACTGAAGATGTGATTATAACGTAAGACATAATCTGGCAACAGTGCGGTCCAAACTGGCACAGAGAGTTGTAGAGTAATATATGAGAAGTCATCTAAAAAAAAAAAAAAAATGTCAAAAGTCCAAAATAAAGCCAGGAGGCTCGCCAACTCTTTTAAATCTCGACTAAACAGAGCGAAGACAGCTGGCTACCGAGTCCTTCGTCAATAGCAGTTAAACACACAGAGGGATTTAAATCCTTCGCTCTGAGTCTGGAGCAGAGTGCACAAAGACGCGTTGGTCTCACACAGAGAGAAACATTTCCTAGGAAAAAAAAAAAACTGTTCCTGAGACTGTAGAAAGTTTTTTTTCTTTTTTTTTTTTTTTTGTGATCTGATGCCAAAAAGTAGTTTCCACTAAGTTTGTTTTGTCAGCGTTATTACTGGAAAGAGATTGTTTACTGTGTACGTAACCATAAGGACGCCTTGAAGCTCAGATGGCGGCCCCAGCGGCTCCTTCTGTTAATGTGCCGTCATATTGACAGGGAAAAGCAGTTATCTTTGTTGTTGTTGTTGTTGCAAGTGAAGCTACGCGTTATTGTGGTTTATTTATGGCCTGTCTTCTCTCTCTCTCCTGCAGCCGAGGTCCAGGCCATCGCCAGCATGATCGAAAAACAAGCTCAGATTGTGGTGAAGCACAAGGAGGTGTCGGAGGAGTCGAAGAAAAGGAAAGAAGCCGTCCTCGCTCAATACGCCAACGTAACGGACGGAGAGGAATATCCTTTATTTTACAAGCTGTCAAGTTTCACTCTTATAACAAATATTTCTTTGACCACCCAGAGAGTTTGATCTGCGTCCAGGTTTTTATGTCTCACCTAGTGAACGTTTCCTTCAGACATGATCCCTAAGGTGTCAGTTCCTTCCTTGACTAAAAAGCACTGAAGCTGAAGAAGAGGAGCCAACAACCTTCACTCCAAATGATAAATGTATCCTTTTTTTTAAAAAAACCTGTTGATATACAACCACATGGAATGCAGTGTCACTAATTGCAATATGAATGGATAATGCAACAGATGCATGACGCACTGCTCCTGTCGTTTACACCTCCGTGCCATAGTGGTGATAAATTAGCTTTTTGGCTTCTTTTGGCTCTCCTTGACTGAAATGCGTCAGCCCTGTTTAAGAACACAAACGTGGAGGAGGTGCTGAGCAGACAGAGGCAGAAGCGGGACCAGGCCCGCGACGACTCTCAGAAGAAGAAGGAAGGCGACAAGATGCAGCGGGAGAAGGACAAGCTGGCCAAACAAGACCGCAAGGAGAAGGAGAAGAAGCGCACGCAGAAAGGGGAGCGCAAGAGATAAGAGGAAGGACACTTTGTGCGTGGAAAAGGTTTTTTGTTGTGCGACAAAGATGAAATTGCCTCTTTTTTTTTTTTTTTTTTTTTAGCTGACATTCATCAGACCCTCTTGTGTTGATTACTCTCTCTCTCTCTTAATGTGTGTAAAGAACAATGTACTGCTTATTGTGCAGGTCCAAAGCTAACAGTGTTTATATGATGACGTCGTGTGAAGCATGCTTTGGCGAAGCTTTTGATACAGTTAACCCTGAAATGATCAAAGTGTGCACTTGAATTGGATGGATGAAGGTAGAAGCGGAGGAATGCCCGTAGAGCGACCCCGGTCCAGTTTCCTCTGTTTCCTTCTGCACAAATAAAGGCGAGGTCATAATTTTCACACTTTGGGTTTTACTTTTACCGTCTATGCATTTATGTCTTGAGAATAAAAACAAAGGAGCGGTCGCTAGATTATACCTCAAATGTATCATGTTTGTCACGAGGGCCGTCTTTTGAAATGAATAATAAAAAACGTTTTTCAGCCGTTTGGATCGCTTTATTTTAAAAGTTTCCTTTTTACAGAACAGGTGACACAAAGAAGAACGACATGAACGTTAAAATGAGGGCGTGGAACAACTCGCACAGTCAGGGAATAAGACCAGAGGAGTGCTCCTCCACAGATACAAGCTTTAGTCCCAAACTGACAAACTGTCACAATGATGAGAATAATATTTGATAAGACCTGAAAATTATGGAAAGTGTGATTAATACGTTTCAGTTTAAAACGCTAAACTCTTAAAAGTTTCAGTATATTTTGTTACAGATACTATTTTTATTTATTTATTTTTTTTACCAAATGTCGGACAAAACAGAAGAAAGAAGAAATTAATTGGAACAACATTTTATAATTTAGCAAGTCAATATTAAACTACTGCTGGAGAGCGGATCTTCGAAGTCTTACCAGCACACAGAGAATCATCTTTTAACTTAGCTGTGTTACATTCCACTGATGGGAATAATACATTAATACATTTCAATTTAAAACATGGAACACTTCCTCCTGAAGTTCAAACTTCACCAAATTGCAGATAAATAAGATATATTTTCTGATTACAGCATGTTGCGATTACGTAATAAAAAACCGAAGCTGCCGAAATTAATTGGACATTTTTTTGAATATTTAGCATGTTTGTTTTAAACTACTGCCCTTATGATTGATTTATTGCTTGGGGGGGATACTCAGAACTGAGGTTCTATTACATTCCAATAAATAAGTAAAACAGGAGAATTCACTGAAATCTTCCTCATAAATAGTGCCTTAAAACACAATGGTGATGGAGCACATTCACGTTAATTTGAAACGGACACTAATTCAATGAAAACGTAAACGAAGACGCAGCGGGACAAATTACATTTCATGCAATTCCCGCACAACAAAAGTTAGCCCAACTGATGCTCCCGGGTGCCAAAAAACTGCAGCCATCATCAAGCTCATATTCTGCAGTGATCACTGTGTTGCAGGTAACATTAGTCGTTTTTTATATATCGATGGGAAATGTGTAATCAGGGCATTCTGGATTGGTTGTAACTTAATCAAGCCCTTTAGCTCATGCTCGTAGCACTGCTAGGGTGGGGCCTCCCTGTCCGCGCGGTGGTCCTGCCTCTCGGTGGGTTTCAGCAGCATCATCTGGAGAGTGGACCACAGGGCCATGCGCACCCTTCTCGTGGTGGCAGCGAGGTCCTTCAGTGCGACAGCCAACAACAGCGTGTCTACGGGAAAACAGAATGCGAGTTACAACCGGCAGCGTGAGAGAGAGAGAGAGAGAGAGAGAGATTACCTCTATCCTCTGAGAAGTGAGCTCTCTGCCGCTGCTGTTTGGACATGCCGGCCATCTCCTCCTTGCGTCTCGCCTGGCAGACGCCAAGCGCCATGTGGTGCCTGTTCAGTGCCGTGTGGATGCTGACGTGGAAGGGAGTGTTGCACAGACTCTCCATTCTATCCAGAAGGCTGGCCACCTGCAACACAATCAACACTATTACGCCCCTCCTTAGTCTTAGAGATGTGTGACATTCTATGTACACGGTGCTTATTAATAACGGCACAGAAATAGATCATTCATCAACAAGACATATGCTGAGACAGACTCCCCCTGTAGATGGCGGTATGGAAGCAATGTAATGGAGGCTGTCTCACCCTCGCTTGCTCCCTCATCTGATTGACAAGGAGGTGGTCGACTCTCGTGGGATTCGGGGGAGTTTTGGGCAGGTTGGTGTTGGCCGTCGCCGCAGCTCTTTTCCCATAAAATATCTTGGTTAGGATGACCTCTGTCTAGAATAATAATAAATAACAAAAACAAGTGAGAATAACAACACAAAACCTTTTACAAAATATATTTTTTATACTTTATAAAGTCAATAATGAACCGAATACCTAATAAGCTAACAGAAATGAATATATAAATAAATAAATCAGATTTGGAAAGCATACCCTCTTCCTGTCCTTCTCCAAGACCCTCAACTGCTCGTCGCAGTCGTCCAGGTAGAAGTAGAGCTGGATCACCGCTCCTCCTGGATTCATCCCCATGGACGTTGTCCCGGCGGAGGCCATGCCGTGATAAGTGCTCTCTCCTCTGCAGGCCAACATGTTGCCGACGTAGGAGTTGAACACCGCAGACTCGTTGGCGGAGATTACGTCGCCCGCGGCGTCCATGCCATAGGGCAGCGTGGACCTGCAGCTGAAGTTGGGGGGGGCGTTGGAGTACCTCCTGGGGTCATTCGCGGCGTACATGTAAGGCATGAGCGGCTGTGTGTTTTCTCCATCGAATCTGTGAGACTGCATGCTCGCCAGGTGGTCGTGGTTCAGGTTTTGGGAGAGCGCCTGTCTCTTATCTCCGGCTCTCGTGTTAGTGTTGGCCGGCGGTCTCGCGGAGAAGCCTTCTCCTAGAAAGCCAGACATGTGCATCCTCTTCTTCTCCCTCTGCACCTGTGGCCTGGGCTTGCTCTGCATCAGGCCCTGCTGGCTCATGCCCGAGTTAAGGGGGAGCGAGGCGTTCTCTCTGTGCACGGTCATGTTGCTCTGGTATTGATTCGCATGGTGTAAAGGTGCAGTGAACGGCTTGGGGGAATGGTAGTACTCCGTGTTTTGCGGGTCTTGAAAGGCGTCGTGCTGAAACGCTTGTCTCCTCGCTTCTCTGTTTCTTTCTATCCCAAATTCTCCCGCCAGCTGTTTTTGGGTGTGCATTGCGGGAGTGCTTTGCGCTGACACGCCGGGACTGCCGATCTTCCATTGCTCAAACATGGCGTCCTCATGCGGCATGCCCGCCGTCTGCCTGTGGACGTTGGGGAAGTCTCCGGCGCGTAAGCCGCCGTGCTCACCGTCCATGAAGGACTGAAAGCTGCTGACCAGCTGGTTGATGTCTTGTGGCCCGTACTGCTCGTTGCTGACGCTCTGGACGTACTGGTCTTCATAATAAGGACGAAAGCGCGGGCTGTTCATTTCGCTTTGAGGTCTAAAGACGTTACTGAGGTCAGGTAAATTATTAACGGGCTGACTGCTCCCCCTGTCTCTCTCTGCTAGCATGTTGTCGTACCTGCGTCGCGGTGCCTGTGGCGAATAGGTGTTTCCCGTGTTAGGCATCGACAGACCCGGTGGCGGCTTCTGAGGACGGAGGGCGTAGGCGTCCTGGTCTCCGTTGGGCAAATTCAAAAGCCACGGTTGATTGGTGGAAAGGTCGTTGGACTGCTGGTGAAACTCTTTGACTTCTGGCTGTCCCTGTGCTTTACTTAGCGTCTCACGGGACATGTAGTTTGGAGGGAAGGTCGGGTGATGCTGCGTTTTAGCCTCCGATTGAAAATACTGGAGCAGCTCTTCTCTCAATGTCTTCGGAGACCAGACAGGGTTACATGTCGGTAGGTTCCTAAAAGTAGTGTAAAGGACTCCCTTTAATGTCAGAGTTTATAAAACGTCTTCAGCATTTATTAAATATATAGATATTTGTTTTAATTAAAAGCCCAACCCTACAATGTGAAGACCTTACACCATGACATACCCTTCACTGTAGTAGCTGTCCTGTGAATCTGCTTCATCCAAAATATTGGACACTAGACCCTGTAGATCCGTCTCCCCTTCACAGTCAGCACTCTCAGCGGGTTTCCTGCAAGGAAAACACAACATGTCTCTAGAAATTGCACTCCATCTTTTCTTTATGGCTGAGAATGTGTTCTTCTTCCATAACAACACACCCACCCAGTATTTAACATTTAACTACCTCTGAACAACAGAATAAAATCCCAAAACCTGTTGCGATTAGGAGGAATAGCAGTGTGATCGCAGAGATGAATGGTCAGTTAAATCGGACATAGTTAGGACTGAGTACCTGATTATAATGTTGCTCTGGGCACAGTTGATAAGGCCGTAGGGATCATCGTGAGCTGTGTGAGACCAGGGCGGGTAGGGCGCTGCGTTCTGCTCCTGTAGGGAGACACTGGGGATGGCAACGAAGGGCAACTCAACGCTGCCATTGTTTACACTGGTCTGAAAGAGAGAGAAGCGACGGTTAATCGATCTGAAGCTCACCTGAAAAAGAGAAGGAAAATAACCTGACTACTGTATTTCTCTCCCTCACACAGAGCAGATTGATGGAAATTTAAAGAAGCTTTAAAATGATTTACAATGCTGCTGAGACTCGATAAACCAACAAAAACGAGACAGTTAACGCTGAAATTAATAGATTAATAAATGGCAGATTTGCTCAGACATAACAAGTCAGTAGTATCAGTAGTCTAGTAGTTAATAACCTCATAATAAACCGCTAACACATGTGTATGGCTATAGCAAATATGACGTGACACAAAAATAAATCCCATAGCTTTATGAAGCTAAAATGACATCTTACCTGGCGTTGGTATGAGGGAAACAGTGAATTGGCAAATGTGCTCTGATGTCCGTCAAAAGCCATCCTGAACTCCCTTGAACTTGGACCGATTCTTTACTCCATTAACGTCACTGGTCTGGCAAAGCACAAGAAACTCACTGTTAAAATCTGGTGTGATTATATGCGACAAAGGCTTGAGATAACATAGAAAGTGTTAGCTAACGGCTATCTGACAGAAAGGACGTCAACTTCGCCATTAGCTTAGCTAACGTTAACTCAACCTAACAGTTAGCACTGCCAGCTAACGCTAGTTAGCTAGCAAGCTCTCGGTCACACGGCTAATTCTGACTAAAATTTCGCCAGCAATCACAACCGCTTCCCTGCTAGTCAAATGTGGTTAACTCGGTCTAAAGAAACCGAGTTAGCGGAGTTAGAATACCGGATTAACCTACCTGAGTAGTTAAGTAACATCAACTTCTGGACTTCAACAGGGTTCTTTACAGTCCGTACATTATCATCAAGGGCTCTCGTGCGTCCCTCAGCTCGCAACCAGAGACCTCGCGACCTGAGCCCACATTGGCTGAGCGCGACCAATTCTATTTTTCACCCAATTAACAACAAGTAGGAGATAAAAGCGCATAGCAACGTGCGGTGTCACCACCCTCCCCCCATGGGCCAGTGGCACAGGTGGTCTTATATAAATATATATATATATAAAGACCACCTGTCGCCTATGCATTTTAGGCAGAAGAAAGTATAATATATATATATATATATATATATATATATATATATTGCATTTTTTTTAAATTACAATACAATGATAATAAATGCACTATTTGCAGTATTTGACGTATAATTTGTTCAATTCAATTCTGTATAGTTTGTTTTTTTCTCCACTTCAGTTCAACTGAAGCAGATTCAGCGCAAATTAAATGTATTTTTACATTTTCACTAATTACTAGTACTAAATAATTACATACATACGATTGATTGATTACTGGATTGTTCAATTTTTAAACGGGATATGAACATGACATGGACGTTGAAGTACGCTAGGTGGGGAAGTCTACCTTCTGCATTTGGGACGTCTAGTCGGGCCCCACAGACTTTATACGCAATCCAGCTGTGGAGCAAAGTTAGAAAATGTTACCAAAAATATGAGCGACATTACCTTCAAAATAAAAGAAAGCGCTCTGCTAAAGTGTTATATGTATTAAACTTAATACGACAATTGCCTTGAAAATGTCATAATATCGATGCTGTCTACCAATAAATATGATTATGATGATCTATATAATTTGTCCTGTATTACAATAAAACATGTACTGTGTTGATGAATGCATTTGATATCATATGACTAGACCATTGTTATTATTAGTAGTAGTTGTAACTTACATACATAAGTTTATCTTGATGACGAAATAAATACATATTATTCATTTTTCTTGTCAAAAACAATCTACAAACATGTCAAATTCGTCATATGTGGTTTTATTTTGAAAGCCATAACCGGAAGTTGTGTTTCTTATTGTTGCCGCCTTGATGTGTTGTGGAACTCAGAGTTGTAGAAAAGAAAAAAAGTCAGCCAGCAGTCCTTTGCGGAGACCAGGGAGCAGCGGTCCGGTCTTCACCTCCGGTTTTTCCACCGTAGTAAGTTACTCTCTCTTAAGAACTACTTGCAGAACTGATGATACACAGTGAGCAAGTGTTTACAGCAAGTTAGATCGGGCTGAAGAAGTTGCTGTGTTAAACTTGGGGAAGATGATTTCTTGGTCTGTTGCCCTCCTGCTGCCTCTGCTGCTATCAGCCCAGTATCAAGGGGACAACGGAATAGTGGTCCCGGAGCACGGGTTCTGTCAGCCGATTTCCATACCTCTGTGCACGGACATAGCCTACAACCAGACCATCATGCCCAATCTGGTGGGCCATTACAACCAGGAGGACGCGGGTCTCGAGGTGCACCAGTTCTACCCTCTCGTGAAGGTGCAGTGCTCGCCGGAGTTGAAATTCTTCCTGTGCTCCATGTACGCGCCCGTGTGCACGGTCCTGGAGAAGGCCATCCCTCCCTGCAGGTCGATCTGCGAGCGAGCCAAGCAGGGCTGCGAGGCTCTCATGAACAAGTTCGGCTTCCAGTGGCCGGACCGCCTGCGCTGCGAGAACTTCCCGGTGCTCGGGGACGGACAGATCTGTGTGGGCCAAAACGATTCCAACGCCGCTACCGTCCCGCCCATCATCCCGGTCCCGGGCACCCACGACCTCACCGACGTCCCCGCGCACGAGAGGCCTTTCCGTTGCCCGCCCGTGCTCAAAGTGCCCCCGTATTTGAATTACAAGTTCCTGGAGGTGAAGGACTGTGCGGCTCCGTGTGAGCCGTCAAGGAGCGGTGGATACATGTTCTTCAGCGACGAGGAGATCCGCTTCTCCCGCATATGGATCCTGGTCTGGTCCGTGCTCTGCTGCGCATCCACCTTGTTCACGGTGACCACCTATTTGGTTGACATGCAGCGCTTCAGGTACCCTGAGCGACCTATCATCTTCCTGTCCGGCTGCTACACCATGGTCTCTGTAGCCTACATAGCCGGCTACTTCCTGGGGGACAAAGTGGTGTGCAACGACAGCTTCAGCCCCGACCGCTACAAGACCATCGTCCAGGGCACCAAGAAGGAGGGCTGCACCATCCTCTTCATGATGCTCTACTTCTTCAGCATGGCCAGCTCCATCTGGTGGGTCATCCTGTCCCTCACCTGGTTCCTGGCGGCAGGCATGAAGTGGGGCCACGAGGCCATCGAGGCGCACTCGCAGTACTTCCACCTGGCGGCCTGGGCGGTGCCGGCCGCCAAGACCATCAGCATCCTTGCCATCGGGCAGATCGAGGGCGACGTGCTCAGCGGCGTCTGCTTCGTCAGCCTGAGCAGCCTGGACCCCCTGCGGGGCTTCGTGTTGGCCCCTCTCTTCATCTACCTCTTCATCGGCACCTCCTTCCTGTTGGCCGGCTTCGTGTCGCTGTTCCGAATCCGCACCATCATGAAGCACGACGGCACCAAGACGGAGAAGCTGGAGCGGCTGATGGTGCGGATCGGGGTGTTCAGCGTGCTCTATACCGTGCCCGCCACCATCGTCATCGCCTGCGTCTTCTACGAGCAGGCCTTCCGCCCCCACTGGGAGCGCAGCTGGGTCAGCCACAACTGCAGGGGCCTGGCCATCCCATGCCCTGCGCAGACGGGGCCCCGCATGACCCCAGACTTCACCGTCTACATGATAAAGTACCTCATGACACTGATAGTGGGTATCACCTCTGGGTTCTGGATCTGGTCTGGAAAGACTCTACAGTCCTGGCATAAGTTTTACACGAGGCTGACAAATGGGAAACAAGGAGAGACCACCGTGTAGAATGAAGGGACATCCGAATGTTGCTGGGACTTATTACCTGTTTTTGTCATGTGATAGGAAGCACGGCGAGTCGCCACAGGTTCTCCCAGCGTTTGTATTCGCCTCAGCTTCACAGCCACGCATGCATGCCAAACTGTGGGGTCAGGGTTTGACAAAAGGGCAAGCTGGATAAACAAGGACTGAGCCGGACTGTCTGAACAAATAACAAGCATGGCTATGGATGCCATGTGCTGAAATGCTCCCCCCCCCTTCTCTTAATAAAGCCACCTCGAGCTCACGTTGAGTGATGATCCAGCAGCCGAGGAAAACTCAAGAGAAATGAGCGGTGCAAGAGCGGCGGTTTATTCTCCCCTGTAAACGTTTCATATCTACTTCAATGAAATTGTAAATTTGTAAAAACATGAAATTATATATTTTGTATTTATAGAAAGTACACACTTCTCCTTGTCTGCCAGTGTACTTTACTTTTGCACTGTAAGAATGCCACATACTGCAGATCTAGACATGCCCCTTTTTAAAGAAATATATAATTTCTGGTTTTGAATTACGTTGTTTTTATGGATTAAAAGAACATTTCAGTCTTTTTCAGAAGCTTTTTCGTTTTAGCCCACTATAAAAACAACAACATGTGCTGAGACAGATATAATCAACTACTCAAATGCTTTGATTTTAATGTCCTTGTTCAATGGGAGAAACTGTGTATTTCTTTACTTTTTCCCTTCCTTATGTTGAGTATTCTTTACAGATTAAATAATATCGTGTTACTTTCTTTGATAACAGAACAACCATGCTGTTTTCTCTGTGGGGGGGGGGGGGGGGTCTTGTTGCACCTGGACATCTGTTGCCTCAGACTGGCAGTAAAATAAATCATTGTCATTCCTAATGGAATCAGACTGTAACCCTCTCTGAAATACGAGGCCTGAGTTTCATACCGAGACAATTGCACACATCTCTCCCGTTATGTGTTCCAATACATTCTGAAATATTTCACGTCCAAGTGTCTTGTGACTGGAAGAAACTGGTGCCCACCTGTAAGAATGCTTCCTCACACATGTCCACCAACATCGCCTCCGAGTGCCAACAAAACAAGAGCCCCTTTTTATGAGCCTGTTGTTGGAGAGGGCCTCGGTTAAACCAACAGGAGTCGTCTGTCGCCCAGGAGGTCCGCGCTGTTGCATAATTGTGAAAAATGTCTTTGGCGAAGGGAAAAACACGGGTGTTCTGTTGTTTTCGGTCGGTGCAGTGCTGCCAAGCTGTTGGAGTTGGAGTGCACCCCCCCCCCCTGAGGAACACGCATGGCTGAAACTGAACCTTTATCTGCGGTGATGTCATGAAGCAGATGGGTGTGTTGGAGAAAGTTTATCCCCTTGCCTCGGAGCGAAGGCTTCGGGGCTGGAGAGGATTGCACGCCCATACATCCTATTGTTACTGCAACGCTTTAGGGGGGGGGCATAATCACTATATTAGGCTGCATCTCTTTAAGTTACTAGTAATTACTGACATGAACACGTGGCAGCTAGCCGTAGCCTAATGTCAGCGCAGCTCGTGGCCTCTTGGACAAGTTGCCGTTTGTCTTTTTTGCATCTTTATCTGGGGTTGAATGAAGAAATGTAATAACAGACAGGTAAGAGGTGGAAGCTGATACTCTGAGAAGAGGGTAGGGAGAGAAAAAAACCCATAAATCTTCCCTCTTACACCCCCTCTGCCTCCACCCTCCTCCCCTCTCTGCTCAGATGATTGGGGAGATGCGAGTGAGTCAGCGGAGCGGCGCTGGGCCTTCGCCTGGTGACAGACAGTCTCCTGTGTGCTGCTCACTTCAAAGCGCCGCCGAAACCTGACTAGCTCCTTGTAAACAGTGCCGCCTGGCCCGAAGGCCCACTTCCTGCGCTTAACTCAGCTTAATGGCTGGCTTGTTTGGCTTTGCACCGGCGCGGAGAGACGAGTGAAGAGCGAGAGGATGAAGACAAGCGGCTTGGGGAGGGGGGGTGGGGGGCGGTAGAGAGAGGGAGATGGTTTTTAGGTGGTTTTTTTTGATGGGGGGGAGGGGTTGGAGAGCGTGATGGAAAATTTGGTTTTATTCGGTTGCTTTTGTCTTTCTCCAAGGGAGGGAAACAACAAAGAAAGAAAAGAGAAGGAGAATCCAAATGAGATGTGTGTGTGTGTGTGTGTGTGTGTGTGTGTGTGTGTGTGTGTGTGT